CTATTATTCCATTTCTCCCAAGTGCGCCCTTGGTCAACAGAACACCTCAATTGTGCCCTCCTGACTCTAGCTCTAGAAGTTATATACCACCTGCCTTCTCTGACAGTCAAGAACTTCATTACGGCCAATCTCACTGTTAGCCTCAACTATGATTTCTTACCAGGCCTTCGAAGGGAAAAAAAAGGAAAATTCTGAGTTCTATATGGTAGTCAGTCTCCAAGATGGCCTCCAAGATAGTCCCCAATCATCCCCATGCCTTGGTATTCATACATTTGTGTGGTCCCCTCCCACATTGTATCAGGGTTTATTTTTGTGAGCAATAATAGCATTATAGCACAAGTGATGGTATGTCACTTCTGAGATCAAGATCTAAAAGATGGAGGATTCTGTCTTGGGTTCTTTCTTGCTGTTTCTCCAATTATTTTCTCTGGGGAAAGTCAGCTGCCATGTTGTCAGGTTACTCAGGTAGCCGACAGATATGCCCATATGATAAGGAACTAAAGTCTCCAGCAATAGCCAGTGAATAACTGAGGCCTGAAAATGACCAGGCAAGTGAGCTCAGTTATGGATACTGCCCTAGTTGAGCCTTCAGATGAGACTGCATCCCTGTCTAACAGCTTGACTCCAGTGTCACAACATACCTTGAGTTGAAACCACTCAACTAAGCCACTTTCAGATTCCTGTCCCTCAGAAATTCTGATGGTAAATGTTTGTTGTTTTAAGCTGCTAAGTTTTGGGGTAATTTATTATGAAGCAACAGATAACCAATGCCCTCTGTCTTTTGTTTTGATTTTGAGTAAAGATAAATAGAATTAGGGAGACATATTTACTATATAGAATGACTAGGGTTGATTCAATCAACACCTGTCTACCTTATGCCAGGTTCTGTTCTAGGTCCCTAGTTTCCCAAACACATTTGCTAATAAGAATCACCTGGGATGATGGATAAGCATACACATTTCTAGGCCCTCTCAGTGGGTTTGGAGTGTGATCCAGGAATCAGTATGCTTAACCAGCATCTCAGATCATTCTTATTGTTAGGCAAGTTTGAGAAACGTTGCAGAATAGGATACAAAAATGAATGAGGCATAGCCTTCCCCAGGGAACAGTCCAAGTTGGAAAGCAAATCGGTACACAAAGGTGCATTTAAATAGAGGCACCAAGTGTTAAGGAAAATGTGAAAATCATTGAGTGTAGGGAGGGTCAAAGAAGGATCCCTGCATGAAATGATATTGGAGCAAGATCTCAAATGTTGGTCAGAATCTCATGGGGCAAGACATGGAAAGAATCACAGATTGATAGCAATAGCTGGCATTTATCAGGTGCCTACTAAGTGACAGATACTGTGCTAAGCACGTTACCTCTTTTACCTTATTTAATCCTCACAGCAACCTTAGGAAACAGAGCTAGTATTGCCAATAATAGACCAAGGAGGAAGGTCACACAGCTCTTGTGCTCAGAACTAGGTAGAAAGGAGGCAGCTGACCCCATATCCCAGGCTCTTAACCACTATCATGTTCCGCCTCCTGTGGGATACGAGACTCAGATATTAAAGTTGTGACATCTTTGCAAATGACAAGAGTTTTGTGCTTGAGAAGATGTTCAGGGAAGGATATAGGACAAGTGAGGATATAGGCACGAAGTATTGGAACCTGGCAGAGACTTCCTAGTGCAAGTTCAACTCATTCATTTTGTAAATGAGGAGGCGGAGCCCCAGAAAAGTTATGTGACTTGCCTGAAGTCACACAGCTTGGTTGTGGCAAAGCTGGGTAAAGATCCACATCTTGTGTAGCTCTCTTTGGATTACGGACAATGAGAAGGCAAATTGGGATTGTCCTTGGATGTCTTGATACAGGAGATCAGAGCTATTCTATAGGCTTTTGAGTGAGGTCTGCCCTGCAAAGTAGCTCTGGTTACCCCAGCCTTCTCCTTCTGAACAGAAATCCCCTCTCCTTGGGGGACTCCTCCCATTCTCCAGCACCACACTGTCCCCCACCGCTTCACTGCTTTCTGGAAAGCACTTCTCTATGCTCTTTTACACAACAGGTACCAGCGACTGACTCCGAAGCTGAACCTGGTGTGCAGTTGGGCCCGCCCTGGGGAACGAGGCTTCGTCCGGACCCAGCGTGCCCAGTGAGGGCGGCGTTGTGGGCAGGAGGGAGGCTCCTGCCGGTTCTTTGAAATTTCACCAGCTAAGCCAGGCCGTATCCACCCACTCAGATCTCGGGGCTGACAAGGTGAACAGGCCGAGAAGTCCTCGTGCCCTGGGGGGGGGGGGGTTGGGGGCACAGCCGTGCCGGACGGGGACCAAGAGCGTGAGGTTTGCGGCGAGCCCTGCTCACAGCGCCGGCGCACTTGCTCGTGTCCGAGGCGGCCGTTCCCCAGCCTGAGCCCGAGGAACGCGCGCCTTCCGCCCGGCCCGGCACCCTCCGGGGTGTCCTTGGCGCGAGCTGCCGCCTCTGCGCCCCAGACACTCCAGCCCGGGGCGACTCCTGGGTCCCCAGCTTGCGCGTGCCTGGACGGCCTCTGACGTGCCCCGCTCCGAGCCCCGACCGCGGGACCCCCGGGAGCCTCGCGAACCTGCCGGAGCACGCCTCCCCAGCCACCCGCCCGAGCCTGGGCTCCCCGCGGCCACCGGGGGCGGAGACAGCGAGTGTGGGGCGGGCCCGGACCGGGGCGGCCACCGAGCGGAGCCTCCGCTCTCGGGAGCGGCCCCGGCGGCGCGGGCACAAGTCCTGGCGAAGCGGCAAAAGCCGCCGGAGCTGGGAGAGAGCCCCGGGAAGAAGAGGGAGAAAGGACCTGTCATCTTCCCGCTGGCCTCTGGGAGAAGCGTCTCTTGACCCCGATTCCGGAATAAAGAAGCCCGGACCTGGTCTGCAGGGCGCCGGGATGCCCGCAGGTACTTAGCGTGCCCTCCCGGAGACGCTCCGAGAACCGCACGTGGCGCCGGCGGGCAGCAGGGCTTTTGAGTGGGGAAGGGGCTTTTCTAGAGACTTGACCTCGTCTTCATTTTTTTTCAGGGGAGGCTGGCTGCTCCCTCTTTTCTGCTCTAAGGCGTAGCCTCCCAGGCTCGGAAGAGAAAGTTGGGAGCAGGAGAGGGCTTATAAGCAGGGGCTGTGAAGACAACGATCCGAAAGGGGCCAGGGGACGAGCGCCAAACAGCAGGGGCTCCAGAGGACACGGGGTGGGGATGGAGTTCCTCCCCGACAGGTGAAAATAAAGGAGACAAGATTGCTGGACAATTTCTGCCCGTATCCTAATCTTCCAGCTTCCCCTCACCAAATTTCTACTACTCTTTCTTTTTGAAAACCTGATTTTGGCCCCCCAGGTAGCATACCTGAAGGAGTGCCTCTCCAGAGGTGGCATGCCCCTGAGCTTTGGGAGTAAGCAGAACCTGAGACACATGTCTGCAAGGAGAGAAGACTGGGATTGCAGTTGTACCTGCCGGGGCTCCAAGCCTGGGTCCCTCTGATCCTTCAGCTGTGGGTTTTGCTTCTCATACCTGGCAGGGGCAGAGGGCTGGACTGATGGCTCAGAGGAGGGGCAAAATCTGAGAAAAACCGGGGTGTTGGAGGAGTTGGGAGAGGGGGAAAGAATGGAGCTGAGCCTTATTGGGGTGCAGAGGACTATGGTCCTGTCCACCAAAGACACACTCCAGGTGTCAAGCCTTGGAGGAGTGTGGGCCACAGGCTTTCCTGGGGCTGCCAGACCTCCTTGACCTTCCCAGGAACCTGAGGCTTAGCACGATTCCCTTTTCTCTTCTTTCTCCTGACATCTGGGGTGCTCTCCAGACCCCAGCTCTCCTCTAACATCCCAGCTCCCTGGTGTGTTATTTTCAGGCCCTGGGAGGGTCCGCAAGGAGAAGACAGGGGAGAGAAGGACTCCGAGCTTCCTGTCTGTCCCTACAGTGCTGCTGACTGCCCCACCTCTCCTGCATCCCCGTCCTGCCCCCAGACCCACTGTGTGGTGAGCTGGAGTCCTAGGTGTCAGGATTCCCCTCCTCTTCCTTGCAGCTGACTGATTAGGATTGAGTCCTCAGTAGTAATTCCTTGCAGTTCTAGAGCGTAACACCCTCCCTCTCCAGGGAGCTGGGTGCTTCATAGACATTATTGATTTCCTCCTGCCTGGAGAATGCTGAAACCCTGAGTGTTTAAGCTGTTTATCTCAGAACACACGTCGGGCCAAGAAAGAGTTTTGCTTGAGGGTCCCTTCTGTGACTCACTCAGTAAGTGCTTGGGCTGTGACTTCAACCCTACTGCCTGTTTCTTCAGGACCAGTTTTAAAATAAAAAAAAAAGGTTGCTGTTGAGTCAGTTCTTACTCATGGTTACCCCAGGTGTGTCGGAGTAGAACTGTGCTCCATAGGGTTTTCAATGGCTGGTTTTTCAGAAGTAGATTAACAGGACTTTCTTCTTAGATGTCTCTGGGTGGACTCAAACCTCCAACCTTTTGGTTAGCAGCCGAGTGTGTTAACCTTTCTCACCACGCTGGGACTTGGTAAATGCTGTGCCAGGCTTCTAGGGTCCCAGCCGATTTTGCTGTGCGAACAGGCAATCCAGTGAGGAGAGGGGAAGGCAGCTAGCTGCTAGATAGGCTTTGTGAATTTTAGAGCCGTGCTTTGCTAGAAGGAAGGAGACCAGCTCATGGAGAGAAGACAGGGTTGTCTCACGGCCCTACCTCTTCAACAATATCCAGAGTAATTTCTTTTAAGCCACTGCAAAGGAGGTATTGCTACTGCAGAATGGGACGCATCCACAAAGGACAAAGTTCGGGCTGTCAGGGCAGTGAATGGAATTTGGAAAATGGGTGGGGTGCAGGTCACTTCTGTTTTCTAGAGCCTCCCCACACTCCCAACTTTAGTCCCTGAGAAAAAGCTCAAAGTGTGTGTGTCTTCAGTGGAATAGAAATATAATGAGCCAGTGCCTAGTTGTCTCTACAGCAATCAACCTCCCCTCAATGAATGGGTCTCTGGTTTTTTGTTCATTTGTTTCCTGTCATTGGGTCCTTTATGTGCACTCCATCATCCTGTATTCACTCTGAGCAGGTGGCTAATGGGCCTGCATAGGTTACAAGATGGTTTTAAATTCTGCCAGGTTCACTCACACATGTAGCCAATTGTTTGTTTTTCAAAGGTCTAGGATGGAGCTCAGAAGCTGTGGCCCAAGGATGCTGGCAGGGAGATTGACTCTCTAAGGGAGAGCAGACTACCAGCAGAGAGGAGAGACCTCCAGTCCGGAAGACGCCACCTCAGGGGAATTCCCAGCAGTGCTGCTAATAGCTCCATCTTTCCAGATGGAGATCACCATGGGGGATAGGGATGACAATGCCACCAACACCTCCATCAACTTCCTTTCTGTGCTTGATCCCCATGGAGTCCCAGCTGCTCCCTTCCCATTCAACTTCAGTTATGAGGACTATGATATGCCCCTGGATGAAGATGAGGATGTGACCAATTCTCGGACTTTCTTTGCTGCCAAGATCATCATTGGCATGGCCCTGGTGGGCATCATGCTGGTCTGTGGTGTTGGCAACTTCATCTTCATTGCTGCACTGGCCCGCTACAAGAAGCTACGCAACCTCACCAACCTGCTCATTGCCAACCTAGCCATCTCTGACTTCCTAGTGGCCATTGTCTGCTGTCCCTTTGAGATAGACTACTACGTGGTGCGCCATCTTTCCTGGGAGCATGGCCACGTGCTGTGTGCCTCTGTCAACTACCTGCGCACTGTCTCTCTCTATGTCTCCACCAATGTCCTGCTGACCATCGCCATCGACAGGTGAGCATGGGGGCAGTGGGGACAACAAAGGTGGAGAGGTGTTGGAATTGCCCCTTCCTTCACCACCGCTGCTGTGGACTGCTGGAGGTATCTGTGCTCCCCTGAAAGGTGGACAAATGGGGGCTCACAAATTTCCCTAATGATTAAAGAGTGAGAAGAGCTCCTGTTTTCCAGCTGTGGTCAGGCAGGAGGTAGCAGAGCCCCCTGGAGTTGGGCAGTAGGAAAGGAAAGTTTTTATTCCCCAGCTGTGAATAAACTTTTAGATGTCCTACCCTACCTGTTCAAGGTCTGCAGGTAGACAGTTACAATGAGGTGTTGAGGGACAAGTTTAAACTCCAGGCAGTTACCTTTTGAGTCAACCTGGAAATCTTGAAGGAGATTTCCATGTCATCGATACTTCCACTACTGAAACATGCTCTCCCTAGCACCAGTTGATTTTAGAATAAGATTGATGGATTTGTTTTGGGGGAAAAAAAAGGGGAGGGATATATGCTGGCTTCCTATTTTTATTTTGCGTTTATCAGTTTGTTCCTTTTCATACATTTGCATACAGCGGTGCAGAAGGCCCGGTTCTAGTGAGGCTAAAAAGAATCAATACAAGCAGCCTATGCACATCTTTATTAGGTTTATTATTTTCGTTTAATTCAATCAGGAGTGCTGGTGGGTCAGGTAATCTTTGCTCGTTGGGGGACAACTTTATAAGCTCTTCTGCCCAGAGTTGGCTGCTCATTACAAAGCACCTTGTTACAGGCTACAGACAGTTGCCCTGAGGGTCAAATCAGGCCTCCCTGTACTTGGATCTGAACAGCCTGTCTCTCTCCCTTAACCCAGAGAGCCTGAAGCACAGATGCCCTTCCTGTGCCACAGCTGCCCCCGACAGTTGTAGGGAGGGGCACGGCTAATCGATTGTGCTTTCTGACGTTATAAGCAGGGTGAGCGGGGAGAGGATAACCTGGGAAAAGAGCACTCCAGGGGAAAGGGTTTAATAAGGAGCCTGGCTTTAGCCGCCCTGAGGGATGGAGGCTCTGCCGTCCTTCTCCAGGGAAGGACGTCAGGGAGTTGGCTGCTTGAACAGCCCTTGGTCTGTCCCCCTGGGAGGTGCTCAGAAGTGTCATCCCTGCAGAGGGCTACTTCTCCTTGGCCCAGGTCTTCCATATGAGTCACAGAGCGGCATGGTATTGTGTCCACCGAGGCACGGCCCCTGAGTGAACCTCCAGAAGGAGCGGAGGGGCAGGGAGGGAAGGAACAGTTAAGCAGAGTATTTGCCCCCTGAGTCACCTTCAGAGCTGTCAAGAGACCTTGTCTCTGACCTTTCTGAAAGCGGAAGCTGCCACTCCTAGCACATGAACAGGACAGAGTGTATGGAGTTATTTCCTGAAGTTTCATGCTAGCAGGACAGCTTTGCCCAGGGGGTCCTCTCAGCTGCCAAAAATGGCGGAAAGGTAGGTAGGTGCCTGCGGTGGAGTGGGATCCTGCTCCTTGGGTGAGATCCATTTTACCATGTAAGGGGCTACTTCTCCAAAGGGGTAACAACTGCAGGACGGAGTGACTTCAAAGGGGAAGGAAGTCAGACCGCACTAGGGGACATGGGCTATTTTTTCGAATGCAAGAGGTACTATCTGTGTCAATCAACCAACATAGATCTACTGGACTTAAGCCCATATCCTACTTTCATATCAAACCAGCTTGTCTGAAATACCACAAGCATTTCTCTTGAGTTTTATGTCAGGCAAATTAGATACAGTAAGAAAGACTAATTGGGGGGCATGCTTTGCATCATGAGGATGGCTACTGTGATTGGAAACTTGCACCCAGATACGGGAGGAAGGCACAGTGTGCCCGCCCAGGGCCTTGGCTGACTAACCGGCTGCTCCAGTGCGTTAAGTTCTTTTATTGATGTTTGGGATCTTCGCTCCAATTTGTTTTGATCTTAATGCGTTTTTACCATCTAATTTCAATTTTGTGGTCGAGGAACTCATTGATTTTTGTCTGGCTTCGTGTTGTTCAGGACTTGATCTGTGATCCTCAGGTTTGGTTTGTTGGTTTGGGGCAACTAATTTTTATCTTGAAATAACAGATACAGTAACAAAAAGACTATTATTTTTACATAATGAAATTTTTGTAGGAGGCATGTTCCTGGTTATTCTGCCTAAGTTTAAACGCTTACTGTACCACCTCCACCCACTAGCTCTAGGGCCGTGTGTAAGTTATTTCGCCTCTCTCTGCCTCAGTTTTCTCCTCGGTAAAATGGAGATAATAAGAGAACCTAATGTATCGTGCTGCTTTGAGGATTAAATGAAGTAATAAATAAAATTGCTTAAAGCAATGCTTGAGAAAGCGCAAGCACGCAATGTTATTGTTAGGTGCTGTCGAGTCGTTGTACAACAGAACGAAGCACTGCCTGGTCCTGCGCCATCCTCACCATCTTTGCTGTGTTTGAGCCCATGGTTGCAGCCACTGTGTCAGTCCATCTTGTTGAGGGTCTTCCTGTTTTTTGCTGACCCTCCACTTTACCAAGCATGATGCCCTTCTCCAGGGATTGGTCCCTCCTGATAACATGTCAAAAACAAAAACAAAAACAAAAACAACCTGTTGCCGTTGAGTCGATTCCGACTCATAGCGACTCTATAGGACAGAGTAGAACGGCCCCAGAGGGTTTCCAAGGAGCAGCCTGTGGGACATTCCATATTCTTCACCAACACCATCTTCTTCAGTCTTGCTTATTCATTGCCTAGCTTTCGCATGCATGGGAGACAATTGAAAATACCGTGGTTGGGTCAGGTGCATCTTAGTGGTCAAAGTGACACCTTTGCTTTTTATTTTGAGTGCCTTCCAACCAGAGGGGTTTATCTTCCAGCACTATACCAGACAATGTGCTGCTGCTATTCATAAGGTTTTCACTGGCCAGTGTTTTCAGAAGTAGACCACCAGGTCCTTCTTCCTAGTCTGCCTTAGTCTGGAAGCTCTGTTGAAACCTGTCCACCAGGGGTGACCCTGGTGGTATCTGAATACTGTGGCATAGCTTCCAGCATCACAGCAAGTATGACAAACTGACAGACGCGTGGCGAAACACTCAATATTATATTTTTGCATTAACTCTTAGAGGAACAAAGAAAACAGACAAAGAAAATAAACTAACCAATGTTTCAGAGGAGCTAACCTCTTTGTTTTGATAGAAACAATTGTTTTTATGATGTGATTTTTAAAAATAATACAAAGTTTCTAGGAAACACAGCACACAAGGTATAGCAGGACAGAACTATTCATTTTCTACCTGCCTTGACTTCTCAGTTTCTATTATTGGTTCCATTGTTCCGCCAGGCACCTCGCGTAGAAACCCTTCTTCGTCCTGACCGTTCTCTCCCTTTGTTTAACATTCATTCAATTTCCAGGTCCGGCCAGTACCCACCCCTACTTCCTACCGTGTCACTGTGGGCTGGGCTGTCATAGTTGTGTCTTCCTGCTCTAGTGTCTCTTGGCTCTGCCGCCCTGCCAATGCTACTCCCCTCACATGCTCAGCGTTCATTTATTTATTCACTCATTCAAGCAATGCATTTTTATAGAGCGGCTGCTATGGGACAGACATTATTCCAAGCACTGGGGATACAGCTGCAAATAAAACAAAAAAGTGCCTTGCCCTCATGGAGCTTCTTTATACCTGAGGGATGGAAGTAGGTAACAGGGAGGAGGAAGATAATTTCAGAGTGAGAAATTTTCTGAGGAAAATAAACAAATGAGAGAAACATTGAGAATGACTGAGAGTGGGAACTGCTCTAGCTGTGTAGTTCAGGGTGTGTCTCTAAGGAGAGGACATTTGAATTGACCTCTGAATGGTAGAAAACCCAAAACCAAACCCATCACCTTTGATTCTATTCTGACTCATACCAACCCATAGGACAGAATTGAGCTGCTCCATAGAGTTTCCAAGGAGTGGCTGGTGGATTGGAACTGCTGACCTTTTGGTTAGCAGCTGAGCTCTTAACCACTGTGCCACCAGGGTTCCAGAAAAAAGAAAGAGAGATGGTGGGGGGAGGGAGGGGAGGGAGAGAGGGAGAGAGAGAAAGAGAGGAGAAAGGAAGGAAGAAAGAAAGAGCTGGTCTTGAACAGACTGAAAAAAAAAAGCATTCCAGACAAGGTGCAAAGGCCCTGAGGCAGGAACAAGCCTTATTTGTTCTAGGAACTGAAAATCACTGTGGCCTGAGGGAGGTAAGCAAGATTGCAGCCAAATTAATCTTCTGTCTTGCAAGTGTCTCCCCTCTCTTGCTGAAAAAAGCCTCTGATGACTCCACTGTCTATAAAATACGGCTCAAATTTCTTAGCCTGGTCTTCCAACCTTTTATTATCCCGCCCCAGGTTGTCTCCCTGTCTCATGCTGGGTGTTGTTGGGTACCGTTGAATCCTACATAAAGCTTTCGTGCTGGGTAAACACGTTTATCTCCTGTTTTCCAAAACAGGTTGTAATCATTTGGAGAACTGTCACCATGTCTTTTTACATTTCTGTCCCTCCAGTGCCAGGCACTTGGAAGACAAACGGGATGAGGGCGAAGTATATAATAAAACCCTACTCCCAAAAAAGCCAAACCAGTTGCCGGCAAGTCAGTTTCGACTCATGGTGATCCCATGTATGTCAGAGTAGAACTGTGACCCATAGGGTTTCCAATGGCTGTAATCTTTCAAAGTAGATTGTCAGGCCTTTCTTCCGAGGTGCCTCTGGATGGATTGGAGCCTCCAACCTTTCTGTTAGTAGCTGAGCACCTAACCTTTTGCACCACCCAGGGGCTCTCAGAATTCACAGAAAAGCAAAAGGTTATAGAAGAAGTAAGACCCAATGCCTGTTCTCGGGGAGCCTGCCATGCAGAGTGAGAGGGAACTAACATTTATTAGCCATTTTAAGAAGTAAATGATAAATTTCAAATGAAATATAGATAAAGGTGAGATCATTGTGTCCAAGAGTAGTCAGAGGAGGCTTCCTGGAGGAGGTGAACTTTTAGCCGGCCTTCAACACATAAATAAGATGGAGATTGACAAAGGAGAGTAAAGGTTTTCCACGTGGGTAGAACAGTGTTTGCAAAGACCTGGAGACGGGAAAGTTAGTGGTGAGTATGAGGTACCTTGGGGAGGTATGTGGGACAGGAGCAAGGAACATAGGAGAGTGGAGGTCAGAGAGGCTACCATCATATTCCAGAAACTCTCAAAGTCCAGGCAGAGGGAAAAAGACCTGAGAGTGTGGCCTGGAGCTGAAAAAGATGAGACGACTTGGCCTCCCCGGGCATGGGTTTCCTCTTTGATGTGGAGACACCTCAGATCCTACAACATGAGGGACTGTGGGAGTGAAACCTTCCTTCTAGGGAGGAGAAACCAGCCAATGTGCCCACCCACTGGCAGGCTCTCCCCTTCTGTCTGGATGAGGCTAGCTAAGGCATAAGTCACCACCCTCGGCCTTTGTTGTTGTTGTTAGGTGCCCTAGAGTCACTTCCGACTCACAGCGACCCTATGTACAACAGAACGAAACACTGCCCGTTTCTGCGCCGTCATCACAATGATTGCTGTGTTTGAGCCCATTGTTGCAGCCACTATGTCAATCCATCTCGTTGAGGGTCTTCTGCTTTTTCACTGACCCTGTGTTTTACCAGGGATGATGCTCTTCTCCAGGGACTAGTCCGTCCTGATAACATGTCCAAACTAAGTGAGACAAAGACTTGCCATCCTCACTTCTAAGAGGCATTTCTGGCTGTATTTCTTTCGTTCTTCTGGCAGTCCATGGTATATTTAATGTTCTTCACCAACACCATAATTCAAATGCATCAATTCTTCTTCTGTCTTCCTTATTCATTGCCCAGTGTTCGCAGGCATATGAGGTGATTGAAAATAACCATGGTTTGGGTCAGGTGCACCTTAGTCCTTAGGCACAGATACTCCCTGGTGAGCTCATCGCTCAGGGCTGACTGGCCAGAGGAGCTGGTCGTGCATTCTCTGATCATCCCATGGCCAGCCCAGTAGCTGCTATGACCGTGATTGTGATGGTTATATCTGAGGCTGGGTCCTGGAGACAGAGAGGGAGCCCACATGCTCTTTGCTTGATCACACAGCCCACTCTCATCTCACAAATTACTGCCTGGACAGTTCTTAGTTCAGCAGCCTTTATTCCTTGTTCTCTGGGAGATGTCAGCTGTAAGTGGATCTGGACCTGAGCCATTGTAGTGGTAGACACACGGGGCAAGCCAAGGGCATATCCACAAGCAGAGAAGAGAAGCTGCCAATTGCCTGACTCTTTCTTGGAACATCAGTAGGTAGAAACCAACTGTGATGGAGAGAAAAAGAAGAGAGAGGCTGCTAGAATGCCATGGGGGCATGAGAAATGGATGTTGCTTACTCTGGCTGGAAAGGCAAAAGGCATGTTGGAAGGGCCACTGGATTTGGAGCAAGATATGGGTCTGAGTCATGGTTCTGTCAATTTCTTGTTGTGTGGATTTTGGAAAGTTATATTTTATTTCTCCAAGCCTCAGTTCACTCATCTGTAAAATAGGCATTTTTGTTCTCTTACCTATTCAATAAGGTTGGGGTGATCAAATGAGAAAATGGATTTGAAAATGTTTTGTAAATTGTACAATTCTATATAAACATTAAAAACGAATTATACTAGAGTTCTAGAGTTCTGATCTTAACATAGCCAAGCCTGGTGGCAATCTTTGAAACCATGTTCTGCAATCTGCCTACTGGTAAATGTATCAGGAAGGCCCCCTGCACAGCTCCTGGGTTCTAACCCCAGGGATGGAGCTGGACTGATGACAGAGAGAACAAGGATGATATAAGTATCCAATGAGTAATCACAGATGACCAAGGTTAGTTTTGATGGGAAGAGTTGGAGACAATAAAATAAAAAGTAATAGAGCTCTTGCAAATGTAGCATTTGCCAACAACAGGGAAAAGAAAATGGCTGTATGTATAGAATAACTCTGAAAAAATTATGATTTAGGACACTAACACTTTCTTATATATCAATAGAGTATTGTTGTTTATGTACAGCGTCTCATTTGAGCCTCACTGCATCACAGTGAGAATGGCAAGGCAGGTGACATTCCCACATTACAGATGAGGAACTTGAGCCCATTGGGCCATGAAAAATGTCTCAAATTGATGTAGCAAGTTTGTGGCAAAGCTGGGATTTGATTCTTGGCCTTCTGACTCTAGATTAGTGGTCTCTTACACTTTTTTGTTGAAACACCACTGTGTTTGAAACATCATGAAGACTTAGGAAGCTACTATTAGGAAAAAAAAATAGAAATTGTATAGTGAAAATTTATGTAGTTAACAAGTATGGATCTAGAAATTTTCTTTGAGAGTAATCAGCAGAACATGGTGGGATAGACAGAGAGTGAGCCAGTGAGAGAGAGTCAGAGCAAGCTTGGTGCACTCACTATAGCGGAAGCAGCGTGGTCATTATGCAGGGCATTGACTACACTCTCCAGACACCTCCATTCCACCCTTCAGACCCCCAGGACATCAGTGTGAGGACCATGGACGGTTGCCAGTGGCCAAGCATGTTAGGGCAGCCAGTGGGTATCCAGAGAGTGGACTCAACCCTTCCAACTCCATTTTACATCTTCTGGGAGCTGGAAGAGACTGGGAGTCTCACTCCAGTGAACTCAGAAAATGACACTCAATGGATGTGGCTGCCTGTGTTGGGGGGAGGGACTGAGAGTAGCAGAAATAAGATATTGGGGTGGGGGTTGGGGGAGGGGTAAGGGAGGAGAAGGAACCTCCTCAACAAATCAAAAACCTAAGAAAGATGACCCCAAAGGGATTGGTGCCAAAAGAAAGAGAATTGGTTTGGCTTTCCTTCAGGCCAGTGTTCGCTCTTGGCTCAACCCGGGCTAAGCTCTGAGTATGTGAGAATGTGTTTATTTCCAGTGTGGACTGGTCATTCCCTCCCACTTCACTTCCCATCTTTCTCCTTCTCCAACTTCCACCCCCTGCCAGACACGGAAAGTCTTCCAGGAAACCAGAGCCCTCTGCAGGAGTGTGTGCACTCTCTCTGGGCAGGCGATTTTCATACCGCACAGATGACTCACCTCCCCCAGAAAGTGCTCCGTTTTCTTTCCTGGACCACTGTGGTAACAGCAGTGTGCGTCTTTGGAAAGGACAGAAGCAATATCTTCTACTGTCTGGTGCTTTGTGGTTAAAAAAGAAAATACATTCACATATATTCTCAATTGATTTTCATATCAACCCTGTGAGGTAAAGTTAAATGTTTTCTGTCAAGTGTCCTGCTGTGTGTGACCTTGAGAAGTCACTCGTCTATCACAGCCTCCACTTCTCCACCTGGAAAATGAGGTGAAAGGCCACAGGCTTTTTCTCCACCTTTGCATGAGGAGTGATTTTTTTAAAAATGTGGAATGATGAGAAATCTTTGCCCACTGCTTCTATGGGAAAGATCAAATTTTCCCAACAACCCTTTGGAATTACCAGCCCCTGTTTGCAGTTGACTACTACCCTAAAGGTTGGCGGTTTGAACCCATCCAGCAGTGCTGCAGAAGAAAGGCCTGGCGATCTGCTTCTGTAAAGATTATAGCCAAGAAAGCCCTATGGGGCAGTTCTACTCGGTCACGTGGAATCGCTATGAGTCAGAATCCCCTTGATGCAAACAAGGTTTTTTTTTTTTGGTGGGGGGGTTAGCTTTAAGCGCTGGGGTAATTAGGATGATTAGCCCTGAAAACAGGGAGGGCATGGGAAAAGTGCCAGGGCTAGAAACAGCTGGGAGGTATTATTACTACTTTTAATGTTAATAGTTACCATTTATTGAGTACATACTATGTTTAAGACTGTGGCAGGACTTTTGCATGCGCTAACACATTTAGTCGTTAAAAGCGCACAACCACAAAAAACCTTTTGCGTTTAAGGAAATTGAGGTTCAGAGAGATTCAACAAAACTTGAGGACATTGCACAGCTATGGAGGTGGAGCTGGGGTCTGCGTGCAATTTTGCCTTTCTTGGTAGCCCACATACCACTGCAACATAGCATTCGGTCGCTCCTCATAATGTTGCAAAAATACCATTACTATCCAGTACTTCCTCAAGGTGGTTGACCCCATTTGTGCCGTTGCCTTTCTCCCTAGATATCTGGCCATTGTGCACCCGCTGAGACCACGGATGAAGTATCAGACGGTCACTGGGCTGATTGCCTTGGTCTGGATGGTGTCCATCCTCATCGCCATCCCTTCAGCCTACTTCACAACCGAAACGGTCCTCATCATCATCAAGAGCCAGGAGAAGATCTTCTGTGGCCAGATCTGGCCCGTGGACCAGCAGATCTACTACAAGTCCTACTTCCTCTTCATCTTCGGCATCGAGTTCGTGGGCCCCGTGGTCACCATGACCCTGTGCTATGCCCGCATCTCCCGGGAGCTCTGGTTCAAGGCTGTCCCTGGCTTCCAGACGGAGCAGATTCGGAAGCGGCTACGCTGCCGCCGGAAGACGGTCCTGGTGCTCATGTGCATCCTCACGGCCTACGTGCTGTGCTGGGCACCCTTCTATGGCTTCACCATCGTGCGTGACTTCTTCCCCACAGTGTTCGTGAAAGAGAAGCACTACCTCACGGCCTTCTATATCGTGGAGTGTATCGCCATGAGCAACAGCATCATCAACACCCTGTGCTTCGTGACCATCAAGAACAACACCATGAAGTACTTCAAGAAAATCATATTGCTCCACTGGAAGTCTTCTTACAATGCAAGTAAGTCCAGCGCCGACCTTGATCTCAAAACCATGGGTGTGCCTGCCACTGAAGAGGTGGACTGCATCAGATTGAAATAACCTGGTGGGCCTGTCAGAGTTTAAACACAAAACCGGATTTTGACATACTGACCGGTGTACCTGGAGACACACCACTCTTGGTTTGTTGCAAAGGGTACAGTAAATGGACGACCCTGTCTATGGACACTATAACTGTGCCCAAGAAGCTTGGAATTTCTAAAACTGATGTATCAGATGTCATCACCCATGGCTGACATGTATTGAACATCTAATTTGAGCAAAGAGAAGACACTGGTGAAACCTGTATATGTTGACAACATTTAGATGGAAAAATGAAGTAGGGATTAAACCAAGGAAACTTTCGGGCAGAGACAGTCTAGAATAAGCTCATTTCCTGAAGGGAGCTCCAGCAGGAGTCTAGGACTGCAGTTCATGTGTTCACAGCGTGAGGGGCTCTCTGGACCATTTTAGCTACTCATCAAACACTAGTCTAGCCCATCTCTGGGATTGTTCTCAGGCTTGCTCTTGCTCCGAACATTTGCAGGACTGGAGCAAGAATACAAAAGAGGCCTCCACCTCTTCCTGTAACCCTTCTCTTCCTATGCCTAGTTTCGACCTTCATTGTGAGGGACCTTACATCCATGCACATGGACACTCCAATATGCATGACCAAGTTTTGTTCAAATCCTCTTTCATCAATGTTGCCCCATGACTGCCCCTCGGACCTAGGGCTATGCCCATCAGTGGTGAGTCACAATCCAGAAGATGGATTTGGGGAAGAAGCCACACAGGCCCTCAAGCCATTTAGACAGGGAATTATGGGGTTCTGAGTACTTGCAGCAAGTTTAGAAAGAGAACTGGACTCAGAAAGCACGTCCTCTTGGCCTCATGGACTTCTTGCCCCATGGAGAGGGGTGCGGGTGGAGGAGGATCAGAATAGAACCTCTGAAAGTGGAGTCCTATGGTATATGGGGCTCTGCCTGATAAGGTCACCCGATTGGTGTGAGGCAGTGGTGCCTGAATCCCATCTTAGTCATTAGTTCCTTGGGCTAAGACTTGGTTGTCTTTTAAAATGGGGGTGCTCTTGTGAGGATTACCCATCACATTTCTGCTCTGCAATGCATATGAAGTCATGTGATCCAGTGGCAGAGCCCTGGTCCCCAGGAGAGAAGGGACATACAAAGGGGTAGGCGAAGCCCCAACAGTGAGCTCCAGTGACCCCACAGGCTTATAGAAGATTCTCCCCGCTTTCTAAGCCACTCTCTTCTGTATGGTGTTTGGAATTTTTCAATTCAGAGTTTTGGACGGAAGATCTGAAATCCAGCCCTGACTCTGTCACCTGTGTGGTTCTGGGTAAAGCCATTCAGAGGACACAGAGGTAATACCTGTAATATCTACAGATGAGGCGGTTGTGAAGAGCTAGTGAGATAATATGTGGGAAAACTCTTTCAACCACACAAGTACAACAAAAAGAAAGGACTAGTACCATGTGAATCATTCCTGGACAAGGAAAAACCTATCACCTTTGCTAACTTATGTGGAAGCCTCACCACCTTCGCCTTTTGTTATTCTTCATGTGAATGATCCCCTTACCCGTCCGAGCAGTGCTGTGTGCATTATGTTTTGTTCTTAATAACAAGTTGGTGTAAGCAAGGCTGTGAGATCTGCTGGTAGAGGTGTAAAAGGAAGTGGCGGATCAGTCTCCATTCAGAAGACGTGCTCAGATTTTGGAAACCTCCAGAATCAGAGCACGTCTGTGATCACGGAAGTATTGACCATCTTCCTCTGCCTGTTCCCAGCCAGCATGAATCTGAGGTGTTGTGGTAGATGTTTCTCAATCTGTTTTTATTACCATGAGTGTGCACAGCTATAAAGCGACTTGTCCTTTTCCTCTTATTTAATTCTAGAGCAGTACATTTATAAGGCTATACAAGCGATACCTGTGTGAGATTGCCCTCTCCAAATATAGCCAACTCTTCTTTTTTTTTTTTTGGTAGCAAAGTTTATTGTTCTAATTACCATTTTCTCCTGGAAGACACATTTCAAAAGCCTATTTATTTCTTCCCATTTATCATTCAACAGATGCACCGTACAGTTTAATCAGAATGCTCTTAAAGACTAATAAAAATATTAGCTTCTACCAAACATGCATTGGAAAGCAATTCTTCTTTTTTTATAAAATCATGCACTGCATTCTAAAATCAGGAAAGTTATTTGGGTTATTTAGATTAAAAAATAATAGAATGTTGTCTTTTTTTTTGTCATTGTGTTATCTTTCTCCACTACGGAAGTTACACAAGAGTTGAGTATGCTAAATAGGAGCTTTTTATAAGCAACAACCAAACCCCTTTTTGGTTTTCAGCTTAAAATATATGAATTTTTCACTCTTTTAACGGTGATGTTTCTGGATGTTAATATCTACTTGTGATTTTACAGTGAATGAAAATGTGTTGTTATCAAGTGACATTAAAAAAAATATGAATGTATATAGTTGTTGACCATGGTGTTCCTGTGGTTTCTGTCCCTGGTCTTTTTCCTAGTCATAGTATGATGAACCTTTGAGTGAGCACCGAGTAGATGTTGAGTTCATGACTTTAAGAATTGTGAGAACATGGCTAACTCATGCTATTAGTGCCTGTAAACTCCCTCTCTCCATCTTAAACAGGTTAAAGTGATTTACCGTATTTTTCATGAATACCACACCCACACAAACAACAGACCCACATATACAACGTGCATAACAAGCCTAGGAAAATAATTTGTGAAGGGGTTTGCAAAAAACGTATAACACGTGCATTATTTGCGTAAAAATACAGTGTATTCCCTTCCTATAAGTCAGCTCTGGTAAAGCCATTTAGCATCTGAGTGCCAAGACTTGACTCTGAGGACCTGTTTTTGCCTGTTACATAAACCAAGGCTAAACCTTTAAACAGGCTTACTGTCGCCACATGCAAAGTGAACCAGGAGATGAACCTATGAGACCAGCCATGTTCAGATTAGTGGCTGATTCATTGAACTGATAGTTGCAACCTGCCCAGCAGATGGCTCTTCCAAAGACTGGTGGTAAGACCAACAAGGTAGCACTTGTGCTTATGTGTTTCCTTTCTGTTCTCTGAGTACTTTCCATATGCAAAGAGATTGTCATACTCAGAATGGTTTGTGAAATCAAACAATCTCCTCAACCAACGTAGAAGACAAGAGCAGATTTACAATGAAGCATTTGGAGATTTTGTCTACTGGGTACACATTTAAAAATAATTTCTTCAATCAAAGATGCCAAAACACGGCAATGTGACAGTCACCACAGCAAGCCCTCAAGCGTGAAATAAGTTCCATGTTCAGTGTGGAAAAGAATACGGAAGAATTTGTGAGAGGAAGGAAAATTATAAATATGAGTCCTATTTCTTGAAAAATATGATACATTTTGAAATGTACCCGTGAAGGATGAGTCCAATTCTCCTTGCTGGAGTGTGCATGAGAACATCAAATTCAAATCATTCATTTCACAATTAAGGAAACTGAAGCCCAGAAGGGGAAGAGAGAAGTTCAAGGGCACACAGCTGGGCACTGCAAGAGCCAGGGTTAGACATGAGGCTCCTAGGCTTAGTCCCGGGTTCCTCTATCCCAGCACGCCTGGGTGCAGGGAGCATCCAAATCTTGGAAAGGGGAGAATCCAAGAATCCTGGAGGTGATTGTTCAGTCCCAGTCTGGGCTTCTCTGAAGACCCTTAAGGAGTTTTGCAGAGGCATTTCTGGCTCCTTTGCAAGCCAAGTTGAGCTCATTCCACCCCTGGGAACCTACACACAGACATGGAGACTCAGAGGTTTTAGAGAAGAACAGCTAAAAATTATCTACTACTGCTTTTTCTTTTTCTTGCAGAGTTGGGGGTCCCTGGAATACAAAAGAAAAGACAAGTTCCCTGCTCATGAGAACAGCTGCCCTGCTCTAGGAAAGCAGAGGAGAGACAGAAAGAAGCTGCCCTGGGCTGAATGTCCACGTTGGCTGGCACGGTCCGTGTGCAGAGTTCAGTGGCCTTGGAGTGCCACCACCCACCCTCACCAGTGAGGATGAGAGAGGTGGGGGAGGCTGTTTGGCAGAGGGAGGCCTTGAACTGGGCCGCACAGGACAAGTGTGGTGTAGAGAAGCAAGAGGGTGAACATTCCACATGGGAGGAGAAACATTTCTTTTATCTTCCCCTGGAAACTGAAATTCTTTTTTCTTGGGGGCTAAGCCTTTCACACAAGGCTGGAATTGTCATCCCTGGAAGAGGTATCCAAACAACTGAAAACACACAGAGACGTAAGTAAGTAATATCAGAGCCTTATCTGAGAGGAGGTTTTGGTAGGAGGGGAGGGAGGGAAAGAGAGAGGGACACCGGTCTTATGAAGCAGGTGTGTGTGATGGGGTATGGGAGGCATGTGATAATAAGCAGACAGGAAGAGGAAGAAGATTCGGAGGAGGTCGTTGAAAACAAACTCGGTTGACTTTAATACCAACAAGGGCTGAGCTGAGCATGTTACAGGAGTTACCTCACCCAGCCTTCACAACTGCCCTACGGATCAGGGGCGAGAGTGTCATTCTGCAGATGAAGAAGCGGAGTCTCAGGCTGAGATTGTCCCTCAAGGTCACACAAGGAGTAAACGGTGCACTGAGGGTCGAACCCAGGCAGTTCAACTGCAGAGCCCATGCTTGTCATCACAGTACGGCAGCCTTTAAATGATTTTTCTAGGTCTTCCTTGTGCTTTTTAACAACCCTAATGAGTACGTTTATCCTTAAGTCTAGTCGTTAAGTAATAAATCATCTCTTAGGTAAACCAGATTTTCTCAAAAATGAAGAAGAGCTTAATTCTCATCTTCGTTTCCTTTTCTTTATGAGAAATGTTATTCACCGTCAACTGCTGGCCCTAGTGGTCTTTGGGTGCCACAGATGTGTTTGGCATCTAGTGAAGCTTATGGCCCCTTCTCAAATAATGTTCTCAGATGTATTAAATACATAGACATGCAAAAGAAATAAACTATATTGAAATATAGCTATCAAAATATATTCAACATCAGGAGTAGAAGCTACCGTAATTTTGAAGTTGTGATGAAGGTGAATGATATTTTGAGATCTCTCCCCAAACAGCAATGACATAGAAAATGTCTTCGATTTCTCTTGGTGACAGTTCCAGGGACTGCTGATACGAGGGTGGTTTGTTGCCTGTGTCGTAACTGCAGGAACTGCTAAAGTTAAGTTGGAGGGTGGTGAGAATGACAGTGAATTTTTTTTTTTTTCCATCCAAGTTCATGGCCCCTGAACTGGTTAAGAATACCTGCTCCAGAGGGAAGCTGAGGCAAGCACACACTGGAGTGGGCAATCGTGACAATGGAGATGGCCGGAAAGAGATGCACACGAATGTAAATAGAATTAAATCAATAGGACTTCAATGGGCGCTTTGC